AGTGCTCATTTGCAAACAGCCTCGCGTGTTGCTCGTGTGTTGCGCTAGTTCAGTGCAAACTAACAAGCGAGCGAGGGGCTAAAATGAGGCAAATCCGAACCCTGGTTACGGTGGCCATATTTATGAGAGACAAAAAATAATTTTGGAAATTTTTTCCACACTGTTTTCCCTGAAACAGTATCCTTATAGAAACATCACAAATTGGTAGGATAATTTTCTCGAGATTTTTACCCCGTAAAATTTGTTAAAAAAATTCGTTAAATTTTAGTATAACAAAGTGCACTTTAAGTCGGTAAGGTTTACCACTAATTTTTGGCAATTTTTTTTTTTGGTGAAGGTGTTACGCATTTTTTTCATATAAAGTAAGTATGTATGTTCGACCTTTTTTTTGAAAGAAAAGCAAATGAGCAGCACTTTCCACTTGCACTTTATTATACTATATTTTAATGAGTTACAAAACTGCAAACCAAATTTTTTTCTAAAGATTCTAATTAAAAAGTTTGAAATTTTGGCGAAATATTGTAGAATTAATTTTTATAGTTTTCGCAAAAAGTTGGAAGTTTGGTATTGTAACGTAGCTTTGCCTACGCCACAATAACACATTCAACATCACCCTAGCATACGTCTTACAACTGCACATAGGTACCAATATACGAACATACATACATACATACTGGTAGGCGTACACACAAACCAACATACCAACGTAGCTTTGCCTACGCCACAATAACATATTCAACATCACCCTAGCATACGTCTAACAACTGCACATAGGTTCCAATATATGAACATACATACATACATACTGGTAGGCGTACACACAAACTAACATACGCGAAGCTGGCATGGTAAGCACATGCAGATTTCACAAACAGCAACTTGGATACTCATGCGCACCAACAGATGGAAGAAGTTCACTGCGCAAAAGCCATAACACAAAATAAGCCCATTCACTTCTCAAACGGTTCATACACAACCAGAGCTAAAGCTGCCAGCATGAACTCAACCAGCGTCAGTTGTCCGTAGGTAAGCACAGAGCGCAGCCTGGGCTTCGCGCCTATTTGGGGCGCTTTTGGCTTTCGTCCTCGGAGGAATACTGGTTGGTTGAGGGGGGCTGCAAGGGGGAATACCCCTCAGCCAACACCCCAAAACCATTACGGGCTAGACCCATTTTTGGTTACGGTCCCCCATTTTATTGCTTTCTTTGCCGCCGATTTGAAGCTGAAGATGTGTAGTCATTAATGTTCATGGTCTGCAAATAATAATATCAATAATAATAACCGACTTTTTTGTTCACATATTTCGTGCTCGTATTTATGTGTGCGTGCTTGGCTATTAAGCTGATGCCACATAAAACGTTTGCTTCGCTTTACGTGACAGATTCGCTTTGACAGCTAAGATGAATTGTATGAAAATGCACAAAGCATGCCACATAGATCATTGAAGCTGCAGCGCGAAGCGAAAAGATGGCCAACTCCCATCTTTTTGCGCGCTTTGACAATCAGCCGGTTTAATATTTATTTTGTTTCGTCCAAATTCGAGTATTCATGCTGAAACATAAAACTCAATTACATTGCTGATAATTTTAAAGCAAAATATCTTAAATCCACAGCAATTTTGACGAGTAAAAAAGCAGTGCAAAATTGATTTCTTGGCGTTCATTGTGGCATACCTTTTGCGTCTGGCGCTTTGCTGGCAAATTTATAAATGTCACGCAAAGCTACAAAGTTTTATCTGGCATCAGCTTTATTCCTTGATTCTAATACACAATAACAGTTTAAAGCAGTTGGATAAGGTCAATGTGACTGGCACAATCAGCAGTATATTGTTCGTTAGACATGCTGCGTAGCCAAATGCATAACTACCTATTACAAAAACAACAACAGCCATAACTAAGGATATTTCTGCACAGAGCAATACCAAGTAGTTGTTTAGAAATATAGCAAGACATTCATAAATGGTAAATTAAACAATATGGAGTAGATAAAGGTGGAGAAGAATTTTCCACAATTTACTTGCAGAGTGGATAAAAGATGAGGTAATACATGTGTTTGTGCAAAAGCATGTTGGATAGGTTCCAAAACCATTTCTGTGGCACTGGTTTCATACTAGTTAATATGTGAACAGTTGCGATTTCAACAAATATCTTTAGATTTTCACAAGATACATGCTTAACAGCGAGTAAAATAATCGAGTTAGTTAATTTGAGGCTAGTTTTCCCAAATATCACGTACATAGTTACGGTCAAGGTGGGCAAAAACTCGGAGTCGAGCGAGCGAGTGAGCAAACTTCTACTCAATGCCTCGCAGACAACGAGGCGCTCGCAGCTCGTACTCGTAGCAGCAATGAGGCGAAGCACGAGAAGTTTGGCTCGCTCACCAAACGAGCGAGCGCTGCTTGTTTGCTCGCGCTCCTATTAAATGAGCGAGGCTGTTGGGTGTTGCCTCGCTCGCAGTGCGAGGCGAGTAGCTGTCTGCATACTCACTCTGCTAGGAAAGACGAGTGAGCGACGAGCGAGCGCTCCGAGTATACTATACAACACATGCATTTTTGTGCATAAAAATGTGGGAATGTATGTCAATAGATTATGTACGAAAGTATGTTAATAATTGTATGTACATATGCATATATACATATATGTGAAGTATTATATTAGGGCAGCATTTAAAACAACAAATAAAACTGATTACATACATAAGCATATATTATGGAATGAACTATTTTTTAGAGTTATATTCATACATGTGTACACACATAACATGCATATTTATATATGTTTGTATGTACGTATTTATGTATATATGCATTTATATATGTATGTACATATGCATGTATTTTGTCTTTACAGAGAAAAGTAAGTAACGAAGATATTATAATCGTTTGTGCCGCAGAAACAAAAAACAAGTAAGCACTTGCTAACACCCCCAAAATAGTTTTCTACTTGTAGCAGTTATGCTGTATACCTGAATGAAATATAGTCCTTGGTGAAAAAATTTAATTGTGGCCTGTTGTTCAAGGACATGTGTAGATATGTATGCATGTATGTATATGTGGATATGTAGACATGGGAAAATGTTTAGGCCTTCACCCTAAATATTTCTATATTTTTTCGACCCGCCCTAATGTTGGCATATGTGCATATGTACACACACATACATGTGCACACGTACTAATATTGATTCGCGCCGTTAACTAAAGTTTCCCGCCGGACAATAAACCTTCGTTAAGTTTCCCCTTAACATCGGTTGTCCGGCGGTCCGATTAAAAATCCCGCACGTCCAGTGCTTCACTTCGTTTTTAGCAGTTCAACGAGCACACAGCAGCTACCAGGCCACTCCAGTCCAAAGGTATTTAAATATTTTGTTATACCCACACATATATATATATATATTGAAATAAATTGACCCTGTATTGCATTAAAACTAAAATCCCAATATCTTGGTTCTATTTATTTCTTTTTGCTATATTTACACCGGAGCGTAATTCCACCACGCCCCCGTGTAAACATTTGGTCCTTTCGGAGCCGTCCGACTTAACATTAAATATTCCAAAGCGCCATTTTGGGACCGTGTGACCATTGCAGTACCAGCGAAACCACAGGAATACAGTCCACCGTCTTTTTGAAAGCGAGTTTGCCACAAAAGCGAATTAACCAGGACACCACGTCTGCGCCACAAATTTAAAACCAACACTTTGCCAGCATCAACTCCGCAACATTGAAACCAACCAGTCGTAAGGTACGTGGTTATATTCAGTGCACTTTACCAATATACATATTTTTGCAAAAAAAAAAAATATATATCGTTTAATTTGCGTAAAAGCATCATATATAAAACTACGCGAGTGCAAAGATAGCCTTATAGCAGTGACTTTGTGAAAGCACCAACTTTGTGTGATTCTCCACATTCGAGTGCCAACAGCTAGTATTGGTTTAAAGTGTACACACACACACACGACAGTGTAAAGTGTTATAGCCATTTTTAAATTTAGTCGCAACATCAGTTTCTGTTGATTTCCGACTTTTTATTATCGTCATTAGATTAAATTCACTTTTTTTTGTTAGTTTCACAGAAGTAGCCAATTTCTTGCACTAACCTCTTTTCACGATCACTTGTCATTGGTTTGTGAACACATAACCTCACTTGCCATTTTTTCACACTAGCCTTCAATTTACGCTAGTCACTTTCACAAAGTCACTTTGTTGCACCTTGGCTCTATTGTTTTTTGATTTGCACACATTTTATTGGTTTATAAGGACGTTGCTGGTCCATAGAAATACATATATATCTATACGTATATATTTGCACAGTTGGGTGGCGAGTTTGTTAGCATACATTTATTAAATTTATATCCACAACCTTTGCATTAAAAAATAAAGAATTGCAAAAAAAACGAATTTTTAATTGTGGATACATTTTGCTCTTTGGCGGTTTTGGTATTTTTAACTCTAGCGGCAAACAATTTCGTTTTTTTGTTGTGAACCTTTCAACAGGTTTGAATAGTCTAGTGCATATTTGCCTTTAACATTATCACATCTTCGAAAAGATTTTTAAATTTTTTAACAAACTCCCGTTCTTTCTGTTGGTCGTAAAACCATCTTCAACCTCATAATGGATTCATTCATGAGCTTAGCAGAAGAAGTGACGGAATTCGAGTCCGACTTTCTTGCTTCCTCAATATCAGAGCAAAACAAGCATGTCCTTGCGATTCAGCAGGAAGAACTCAGATCACTGTGGGAGAAAACAAAACTAGCCTACGATGCCCTCAACACCTCTGAAGAATTTTCACAAGAAGATAAGAGGACATACAGAAAAATAAATAGAGGCGCGTTTGCTAGTTATGTAAATTGCATGTCGTCTTTGGCTGCTCAGGCTGAGAAAATAGCAAAAGAAGAACGAGATATAGAACAGAAGCCCATGCGAAAACACAATATTCACCTTCCACCGTGTGATACAGATGTTTTCAAAGGCGATTATCTGTCTTGGCCAACATTTCGAGACATGTTCACGGCCATCTACATCTCGAATCAGGAGCTTACTCCGGTTGAGAAGCTATATTACCTCAACCAAAAAACCAAAGGAGAAGCCAAAGACATTGTGAGTAAGTGCCTAATAACTAATGAAGGCTTCGCAACAGCATGGGAAAATTTGTGTGAGCGATACGAAAATAAGCGTATTCTCGTGAACACACAACTAAAAATATTATTCAATTTAAATTCAGTGGAGAGTGAATGTGGTAGCTCTATTAAAAGATTGCAGCGTGATATCAACAATTGTTTGTCATCCCTCAAGAGTCATCAAATTGACATTTCAAATTGGGACTCAATTGTTATATATCTTTGCTTGACTAAACTGCCTGACAGCACTTTGGCTCTATGGGAGCAAACCATAGACCACACAGGCGATTTACCGAAGTGGGAAGATATGGATAAGTTCCTATCTAATAGGTTCCAAACCCTGGAAACCCTGACAGGCTTAAAGGGTACAAAAGCAGTTAAGGCACCAAAGCCGCAAAACAATAAAAACCCTTCAGAAGCCCATACCAAAAGACTTGGTGCATTCCAAGCAAGCGTGACCAAGTTCACTTGTACAATGTGCCAAACGAATGAGCACAAACTACGCCGCTGTTCCAAATTCTTGAAGCTTACGCCTGACGAGAGGTTTAATTACTTAAAGAGCAACAACAGTTGCCTGAATTGTTTGAGTGCTGCACATACCGTGACGAGGTGCACAAGCCCCTTTAATTGCAGCATGTGCCACTCGCGACATCACTCGCTCCTGCACATTCAGACAAATGTGCCAAAGGCAACAGCGGCTCGAACGCCGCCGGGACCTGCCAATAACACCGCATCCTCCTCTCAGCAGGCTCCAGCAAAGCGCAGCTTTAATAATAGAACACATAACAATAAAAGCAAAGACGTTAAGTCTTGTTATGCTAACACAAATTCAGGTGTGCTCTTAGGAACAGCTCGCGTAAATATACGTCTCAATGGCACAGATTTTTCTGCTCGAGCACTTATTGACTCTGGTTCTGAGTGTTCGTTCATAACAGAACGACTCAAACGCAGAATCAACCTGCCAGCTAAGAGGATGCATGCCCAAGTCTCGGGCATTACGAATGCAACCTCTGCGCAGGTCAAAGAGGCATGCAGCATAGAACTTCGATCCCCTGTTGATCCATTGTTCAGCCTGCATGCAACAGTGCTCGTCCTAACAAGACTAACCGGAAATCTACCATCCTGTCATATCAGCGCTATGACTATGCAGGCATTTCCAGGTCTTGCTCTAGCTGATAAACGGTTCTACGTGAATGAAGAAGTAGACCTTGTACTTGGCGGAGACATTTATCCCCAAATTATTCTATGCGGCTTGAAGAAGAATGTACTCAGTACACTTCTCGCCCAAGAAACAGTGTTCGGTTGGATATTAACAGGATGCACAGATGCACCCAATCCAACCAACAATATAGTTTCGTATCACAGTGAAGTTGCCTTGGACAAACAACTAACTGCATTCTGGGAACTCGAAGACATACCAAAAAACAAAAGCTTGAACGAAGACGACAAATACTGTGAAAAACTTTATCGGGAGACAACTCGTAGACGAGAAGACGGAAAATACGTAGTCTCGCTACCATTCAGGCAGGAATTTCCCGCAAACATCTGCCTAGGCCCTTCTCTTAAAAAAGCATGCTCTCAGTTCTTCCGGAATGAGACACGGCTTGCAAAGGATACCGTCCTACAAAAAGAGTATAATAGGGTACTAGCTGAATATGAATCACTAGGACACATGTCCAGAATAAATGATAGTATTTCAGCAAACACTTCCGATAACTACTTTCTGCCTCACCACGCTGTCATAAAGGCAGAAAGTACCTCCACTAAAGTTCGAGTCGTCTTTAATGCCTCAAGTACAACGGCTAATGGCACAAGTCTGAACGACGTACTTCTCCCAGGTCCAGTTCTCCAAGCAGATCTTCCGATCCTTATACTCCGCTGGAGGTTATACAGATACGTTTTTAATAGTGACATCGAGAAGATGTACCGACAAATTTGGGTGGATAGCAACCATACCAAATATCAGCGGATAGTTTACCGTACAAACCCGAACGAACCTGTAAGTCTATACGAATTAAAGACTGTCACTTTCGGGATTAATTGTGCTCCTTACCTCGCGATAAGGACACTTCTACAACTGGCTGACGATGTAGAAAGTTCTTCCCCAATAGCATCTAACATACTTCGGAAATGCATGTATGTGGATGACGTGCTAGCTGGAGGACATAGCATCGACTCTACCGTAAAAGCAAGAGATGAAATCTCGGAAGTACTACGGTCAGCCGGTTTTCCGCTAAGGAAATGGACCTCAAACTGTGCGGAAATTCTAAAGGACATCCCAAAAACGGATCTACTCAGTGAAGACTTTTTGGCATTCGAAGATACCAGCACGGTTAAGGCTCTTGGCATAAGATGGAATGCCCATACCGATCTATTCTATTTCATGGCAAGACCATTGGAGGACCGCGAGACACCTACAAAAAGGGCGATACTATCAGCTATCGCCAAGCTATTTGATCCGCTAGGATGGCTTGCTCCAATAGTCGTCGTGGCCAAAATAATCATGCAGAGTATTTGGCTAGAAGGCACAGACTGGGATGAAACTGTGTCTTCTACTACTATGGAACGATGGCACAATTTTACCAAACATTACCATGAAATAGACAATATTAGAATACCTCGATGGGTACACTTCGCACCAGGAGATGACATCGAGATACATGGTTTCTGCGACGCATCGGAAAAAGCATATGCGGCTACTGCATACATGCGCGTCAAAAGAGATGACAAAGTTTTGGTCAGCCTACTTTTGGCAAAAACCAAAGTAGCTCCTGTCAAAACAATATCGCTACCACGACTAGAGCTTTGCGGAGCCGTACTGCTCGCGGAAATCATAGAATCAGTAATCAGGAACCTCAACCTAGGGCAAGTGAAAACATATCTATGGACAGATTCGACCATCGTACTCGCATGGATACGAAAGCCGCCTTGTTCTTGGTCAACTTTTGTCGCACACCGAATTACGAAAATAATAGAAAAAGTCGGTAACAGGGACTGGTCGCATGTAGACTCGGCTTCAAATCCAGCCGACTTAGCTAGCAGAGGATTGCCTGCGTCAGAGTTGGTGACCAATTTTTTGTGGTGGCAGGGACCTTCTTGGTTGCAAGAAGACAACTCTAAATGGCCTGCTCAAGAAATTAACTATCACACAGAAGTTGAAGAAAAAAGGGCACACGCTTATGCATCAACAAAAGTAAATGATATCGATATTCTTGACCGGCTTTCAGATCTACCGAGAGCTTTGAGAGTGTTAACATATGTCATGAGATTCTATCGAAGAACTCACCCGAAAACTAAAGCTTTATTTCAGGAAAATTCTTGTTTAATTTCATCAGATGAAATTAAGATGACGACACATCTCTTGATAAAAATCAACCAGAAGCAACACTACGGTGAAGAATACAGGAATTTGAAAACTAGAAAACCCATCGATGCAAAGAGTGAAATCCTTCCGCTTAATCCGTTCGTCGACAAGCACGACATCATCAGGGCTGGAGGCCGCCTCGGAGCATCCCAGGACTTAGCTTATAATGAGCGCCATCCAATCATTATTCCGTACAACTGCAGATTGTCCCGTCTGATCGTCCTGATGATTCACCAAGTCTCCTTACACGGAGAAAATCAGCTCATGTTACGCCTTATCCGTACCCAGTACTGGATTCCCAGGGTAAAAAACATGATTAGGTCTACCATCCACAATTGTAAAATTTGTACCATCTACAAGAAACGATCTCAGACGCAAATTATGGGAACTCTTCCTCAGGAACGCACAACATTTACGCGCGCGTTCACGAATACGGGAGTAGACTTCACGGGACCTTTTGAAATTAAAAGTTACCGTGGTAGAGGTTGTCGAATTTCCAAAGGCTATGTTTGCCTATTTGTTTGTTTCGCCACTAAAGCGATTCATTTAGAAGCCACCAGTGACCTTAGTACCCCATCCTTTCTAGCAGCTTTTGCTCGGTTCGTGGCTAGAAGAGGATGCCCGAAGAATATCTATTCCGACAATGGTACAAATTTTGTCGGCGCTTCGCGATCTTTACGATCTGAATTCAAAGCTTTTTTGTCTGGCGCGCGAGACAAAACGATTTCAAAATATAACCACCAAATACTTACGTGGCATTTTATACCCGCTGCAGCCCCTCACATGGGAGGACTGTGGGAAGCAGGTGTAAAAAGCTTTAAAAGCCACTTTAAAAAGGTGGCATCCGCTCACAAATACACCTTTGAAGAGCTCAGTACGCTTTTGTGCCGGATTGAGGCGTGCCTTAATTCGCGACCACTGAGTCCCTCTTCAAATGAGCCAAATGACCTGGAGCCGCTTACTCCAGGCCATTTTCTCACGGGTGGACATCTTATGGCTCCGCCAGAACCTGATGTGAATGAGAACCCTGCCTCCATCGTCAATCGATGGCAAAAACTAAAAGCACTGCATCAGACGTTTTGCAGGCGATGGAAAGTGGAGTACTTAGCCGAACTACAAAAGCGAATTAAATGGAAGCACCCCAAGGAGAATATGAAAACAGGTGATTTTGTAGTTATCAGGGAAGACAATCTACCCCCAACTGAATGGAGGTTGGGGCGAGTTGTCAACTTACACCCCGGTACCGATGGCAGAGTGCGCGTAGTGGACATCCTGACGGAGAAAGGTCAAGTTACCAGACCACTAGTGAAATTGGTTCTACTCCCACCATACAGCGATGGAAACTCGGAGCCAACAATCACCCTATAAATTCCCTTCTTCACCTATAGCTTATTCCACTTCCTTTTACCACAGCATTCCACTTCCAGGTAATCGGAGGGATTCCACCCCTAACTTGCCATAAAAAAAGTGCCTAGCATTTTTGTATTTATGGTGATGGTTCTTACTCGGGTTACCCCGGGTTGATCTGGTTACACAAAAACGACCATCCTCAGATCTGAATTCACAATTAAAATTGCAGAAGTAGCAAATTACTCCGCCTCAACTGAATACAAATTCATTAACCCTGGAACACCAATCATATCTTTAATACGTATTTAGCACTGATGTTTTTAAGTTTTAAAGCATCAATCCTCAAAGAGCTTTCGATATGTTCTTAAGATAATAATTGCTAACTAAAATAAAGCAAATGTTATGCGGTTATGTTGTGGTTTAAATAATGAAATTCCAATTTCAAAAATGAATTTTCAAGAGACTTCCCCACAAAACATAAACTGTGTTGGTCGAATCGACTAACATTGGCGTTCCAGTGTTTAGAATCAAAAGTCTAGCAGACCAGCACAGTTGAGGCGGAATGAATGTGTATTCAGTTGCAAGTTGAAGCAAATACCCCACCCGAAGTTTAAAAGGTAAAATTTTTTTCAAGTAAAAATTAGCAGTCATTATAATATTTAAAAACTCACATATCCTCGGTTCCAAAAGGGTTCGGTGAGTAAAATTTCCAATCAGCTTCGTTTTTCTTTCTTCATGGAACGATACGCAGCGGCGTTATGTCAGCAATCCCTGATAAAAAACACAAATCGATTAGTCTCAAATAAACGGTTAACAACAAAAAAAAGGGGTAAAAACATAAAACTTTGTTACCAGACCAACGACATTTCCAACAAGGATGAAGATGGAAGTAACTGAAAACCAGGATACGAAGAGAACCGTCAGCTGGACCCTTAAAACCACATTTTGATTATACAGATTCTGTGTAACAGAATCAAATCAAAAGAAACTTGAACCAAATAAAAAAAAGGCTTTTCATGGATTTTGTATTTTGCTCAAAAGCTACTCGTCATATTCCTTAGCTTCAAGCAACGATCCGACCCGCTAAACCAGGTTTCAAAATACTTTTGTTCCCATTTTAAGTCTAAACGAACAAACTTTGTAGTGTATTTTTTATTGTGCTTTGAAAGGGAAAACATGTACTTTAATCACTCAATTGTAGATCTAGCTAGTTGAAACGAATAAGCGTAAATTCATTACACTTTTAAATTTTCACATACATTCAAGAAAACGAAAATCTCAAATCTGTCAACACTATTTTCAAAAGATTTGTTATGCTAGTGTATTGCAAAAGCTATTCAATTGTTCATAAATTTTAAGTTTTAGTTAATTTCATCAAAGTTTTTTTTTTGGTAAACCTTTAGATTTGCGAATTGTGCTAAATATGATATAATAGTTCTTTTTCAATAGATTTTTCTTTGCCTTTTTTGTATGACCATAAGAACCTGATTCTTATTGAAGCATTCAAGTCTCTTACACAATCCAGCTACGTTGTTCTTTTTTTCTTTTAATATTCACTTTTTCAACCTAAACTAAAGTGTTCGTTGCTCCTTACTGATCCGTAAGAAGCTCACACATTTCGCGGGTGACAGCCTCTTTGCTAGCGCGAATGGTTAGTCGTAACATCTGTGCTTGTTTATTTGGCTCCAACCGTAGCAAACAGCCCACTTGCTGCGTTTGTGTGTGTATAATACCTGCACACACCATATTATCGGGATTGGGGTCGACACTGTCTAATAGTTGCATGCCAAAGCCCATCAGCTTATTGCGTGCACCGGGCAGATCAAGGGGCTGTTGGGCCTTAAATACCTTTCGAGCCCTTTGTTGCTCGCCTCCCA